GAAACAAGTGAGGTAGTAATAGAGACTTATGTTTTATCCCATTTTCTGTTTTAAATGTTTACAATGACAATATATCCATATAAATATTTTTAAAAACTATTCTGGAAAAGTAAACATGAAAAAATAGCTAGGAGAACTCTAAAGGGGAATAGCAGTGGAATGAAAAGGATTTATATCCTAATAGATATTAAAGTAGTATGTTTGACAAAGAGATCAATTTGAAAAAGATTTGATCACTACCTTGCACTGTACAACTAAGTAAGTTCTAGCTTTATCAAATAATTATAAGGGCAAAACCATAAAATCAATGGAAGGAAATAGAGCTTGTTACTTCAATTATTTGGGGTTTGGAATGGTCTTTTTCAACATGAAACTCCAGCCAAAACCCAGATAACAACAACAAAAATTACATAGTTTATCTACATACAAGTTAAAGCATTCTGTATAGAAAATAAACCTACTGTATATAGATTATAAAAGATAAATGTGTCAAAAAGTACAACATCCATAATAATACTTTCATATGCAAAAGGTTCTTACCAATTAGTAGAAGATAGATGTGCCAAAAGAAAAGGGCAAATGGCATGTGTGTACAACAGGCTATCTTTTTCTGTCTTCATAATTACACATTCCAAGATTTGCTATCATTGATCCTAAAACGCCTATGGTATACAGACCACCAATGATGTTTAGAATTCAACCTGTAGTCAATTTTCAAACTCTTTTCAAGAGGAAATTAAACTTCAGGGGGCTTTTTCTTAACACACATTTGCCCTTCCCTACACAAAGCTTACCTTAGCAACTGAAGTTGTTCCAAAACAAAGTAAAACCTTCTGGCCTTAATTTAAACAAGCATCACCAATCACTATTTTCATATTTCCTCTGATCAATCTAGATAGTTTATATTGGAAAGCTGAAGACAAACATCTTTTCCTCACTGATTCCTTCCTGTATTTGGCAAATACAGATGCTGCTCTGGGATTCTAGGGAGCAATACAATTTCATTTTTACCCATTCCCATTTGGGGAGACATTTCACAGAAACAAGTCTACCTCTGTTAAAAAAATTAATTTCTTTGTTGTTTCAGCAAAAGAGCTCATGAGCTTGCTTTTGATAATGGTGAACTTGGTCAAATGTTTTAACAAGTCAAAGTATTAGTGAAAGCATGAAATTCAAACCCCTGTTTCGAGATGTTTGTTGGAAATAGGAATTACTACTCAATCATTTATCATATGGGAAATATTTTAATTAGTATAGGAGATAAGCACTGGCAGAAAGGAATCATACTGTGTTCCAGGTTCTCTGCCGAATAGTATAGGACAAAACTCCCAGCAGATATTGAGCTTCACCAGAGTAAAGAGAAGCACACATAACAGAAGTAAGCTTATGGGCAAGGAAGATAGCAATTGATGTTAAGTGTTCTGAATTTGTTCTAATGCCCAAGAGAGAAGTGTCATTTCTTAGTCAATAGAATTGATTGTATTTATATATCCTTCACAATAAAATTTGTACATATATATACAATATATAAATGTATACACATTTTCTGCACTTATTTTAGAAGGTTTACCATGTGCCAAGAACTTTGCTAATCTTTTGTATATATTATTTAGTTTGATCCTCATACTAATTCTAAACTGATAGGTATGGATCTAAATGTAGATAGATGCTTGCTTAAATATGTTTTTATAGCTTGTTTTTTGGCCCATTCAGAGAAGAAATCAATAGTTTTATACTTTATGTAACATGTTTTATTGCAATAAAGAGACCTTTAATAATTTTCACATTGAATTTGATTTTATTTTTGTCTGCTACAGCTTTGTTATTCCTTTAACCTCTCTGAGTTACTATTTGTATATTTTTGTTGTTTCAGTCTGATTTCTTTGTTTTACTTTTTAAGAGGTAGGTGTCCCATTCACACTAAGATGAGGAAAATATTTGGTTTTGGTTTTATTTTACTGGATATATATTTTTTCTTTTTATGGCACTGAAATATTTCCTTTATACTCCTTTTGTTATATGATCTGTGCTGCTAAGGCACATCTCACTTCTAGTAATTTGGAGTGTGTGAATTCTTTTATTTTATTATTAGTTGCCTTTGTACATTACAGTAAACTGCTTCAGCCTAATTTTATTAATTTATTGGCTTCTGAAGCAACAACTAGTATAATTAGTTCTACTCTATGGAAATTCAAAATAGAAGCCATATATTAACACATGATTCTCAAAATTATGAGCGAGTGGAGAAAAGGGGCTCCTGTGGGAGTATAAATGGTCAAAGCCTTTTTGGAAGGCTGTTGGGCAGTTTATTATACATTCATAATTCATGATTCAACAATTTCACTTTTAAGAATCTAAAATAAATACAGAAATGCAAAAATACATTTGTATAGTGGTGATTCCATTGTGAACAACCTTGAATGGCATGGCAAAAAGTTTAGAAACAATATAAACGCATATCCACTTAAGGATTATAAATATATGAGTGTGCATGTTGAATTTATTTATCTTGATAAAAACATCTTAATGAGGAAAACCTCTGTGTTGACATAGATCTCTGAAACACAAAGTTTTAAAAAGTCAAAAAGAGTAATAATTGTATGATTTCATGTATGTTTAATTTGTACAAAACATGTTTAAATGAATAGAGAATATCTAGAAACACAAAAGTATTAGCAATCATTACTTTTGGGGAGAAAAGTAGAAACAAGTGAGGTAGTAATAGAGACTTATGTTTTATCCCATTTTCTGTTTTAAATGTTTACAATGACAATATATCCGTATAAATATTTTTAAAAACTATTCTGGAAAAGTAAACATGAAAAAATAGCTAGGAGAACTCTAAAGGGGAATAGCAGTGGAATGAAAAGGATTTATATCCTAATAGATATTAAAGTAGTATGTTTGACAAAGAGATCAATTTGAAAAAGATTTGATCACTACCTTGCACTGTACAACTAAGTAAGTTCTAGCTTTATCAAATAATTATAAGGGCAAAACCATAAAATCAATGGAAGGAAATAGAGCTTGTACTTCAATTATTTGGGGTTTGGAATGGTCTTTTTCAACATGAAACTCCAGCCAAAACCCAGATAACAACAACAAAAATTACATAGTTTATCTACATACAAGTTAAAGCATTCTGTATAGAAAATAAACCTACTGTATATAGATTATAAAAGATAAATGTGTCAAAAAGTACAACATCCATAATAATACTTTCATATGCAAAAGGTTCTTACCAATTAGTAGAAGATAGATGTGCCAAAAGAAAAGGGCAAATGGCATGTGTGTACAACAGGCTATCTTTTTCTGTCTTCATAATTACACATTCCAAGATTTGCTATCATTGATCCTAAAACGCCTATGGTATACAGACCACCAATGATGTTTAGAATTCAACCTGTAGTCAATTTTCAAACTCTTTTCAAGAGGAAATTAAACTTCAGGGGGCTTTTTCTTAACACACATTTGCCCTTCCCTACACAAAGCTTACCTTAGCAACTGAAGTTGTTCCAAAACAAAGTAAAACCTTCTGGCCTTAATTTAAACAAGCATCACCAATCACTATTTTCATATTTCCTCTGATCAATCTAGATAGTTTATATTGGAAAGCTGAAGACAAACATCTTTTCCTCACTGATTCCTTCCTGTATTTGGCAAATACAGATGCTGCTCTGGGATTCTAGGGAGCAATACAATTTCATTTTTACCCATTCCCATTTGGGGAGACATTTCACAGAAACAAGTCTACCTCTGTTAAAAAAATTAATTTCTTTGTTGTTTCAGCAAAAGAGCTCATGAGCTTGCTTTTGATAATGGTGAACTTGGTCAAATGTTTTAACAAGTCAAAGTATTAGTGAAAGCATGAAATTCAAACCCCTGTTTTGAGATGTTTGTTGGAAATAGGGATTACTACTCAATCATTTATCATATGGGAAATATTTTAATTAGTATAGGAAATAAGCACTGGCAGAAAGGAATCATACTGTGTTCCAGGTTCTCTGCCAAATAGTATAGGACAAAACTCCCAGCAGATATTGAGCTTCACCAGAGTAAAGAGAAACACACGTAACAGAGGTAAGCTTATGGGCAAGGAAGATAGTAATTGATGTTAAGTGTTCTGAATTTGTTCTAATGCCCAAGAGAGAAGTGTCATTTCTTAGTCAATAGAATTGATTGTATTTGTATATCCTTCACAATAAAATTTGTGCATATATATACAATATATAAATGTATACACATTTTCTGCACTTATTTTAGAAGGTTTACCATGTGCCAAGAACTTTGCTAATCTTTTGTATATATTATTTAGTTTGATCCTCATACTAATTCTAAACTGATAGGTATGGATCTAAATGTAGATAGATGCTTGCTTAAATATGTTTTTATAGCTTGTTTTTTGGCCCATTCAGAGAAGAAATCAAGTGTTATTTGTGCTTTTTCTAACCTTCTTTGTTCTTTTCTAAACTTTTTCCTGCCTCTCCCCTTACATTAAACAGCTTTTCTTTATGACCTCCTCCAATTTCCAGCAATAAGTAGTGTTAAGTTTGGGGAGATAGACAAGCAGGTGACTTTCTATGCCTTTACATAATACATATATCTAGATATTAACATTGTTTATTTATAAATAAGAATATACTAACTTGTAGCTTGGCTTTTTACTTAATAATAGTACTTGACAGTTGGACTATCTCATTCTTTTGTAAGACTTGCATCATGAAGATACTTTATTAAATCCCCTCCCTGAGATGGACATATAGGGCTTTTGTAGTTTTCTCTGTAATAAACAATGTTGTAGGGCCTCTGTCTTCAAGTTATTTACCGTTGTTGCCATGGGAGCCGCAGTTTCCTTGGGCTTGGTTAGCCGTGGCTGCGCGCATGCGCGCGCACTTCTGCCACGCCCTGGATCAACAGTGGCGCCGAAGGCCTGCGGAGCCCGCCAGCGTCATCTCAGCCTCTTCGCTGGCCTGGACCCTGCCTCTGACTAAGTCGCCACCATGAGAGGCAGCAACTTGGTTAGGAACGACGAGTTTGATGAGCAGTTGCGAATGCGAGAACTGTACGGAGACACCAAGGACGGTGACACCCAGAAAGATCTCGGCGGACAAACCGATTCTTTCCGGCAGCAGCCATCCGACACCCCTTACGAGTGGGACCCGAACAAGAAGGCTTGGTACCCCAAGATCACTGAAGAGTTCATTGCTACCTATCAGGCCAATTACAGCTTTTCTAGTGACGGTGCGCCTAGCTCTACTGTAAATGTACAAAATATCAGTGCTCCGACTGCAGAGGAGCCTCCACAAAGAAAATCCCCTGAACCCAGTGATTCCAAGAAGAGGGGAGAAAAGAGAAAGGCCAAATCAGGATGGTTTCATGTTGAAGAAGACAGAAATACAAATGTATATGTGTCTGGTTTGCCTCCAGACATTACAGTGGATGAATTTATACAGCTCATGTCCAAGTTTGGCATTATTATGAGAGATCCTCAAACAGAAGACTTTAAGGTCAAGCTTTACAAAGATAATCAAGGAAATCATAAAGGAGACGGGCTTTGCTGTTATTTAAAGAGGGAATCTGTGGATCTTGCACTAAAGCTTCTGGATGAAGATGAAATTAGAGGCTACAAATTACATGTTGAGGTGGCTAAGTTTCAACTGAAGGGGGAATATGATGCCTCAAAGAAGAAGAAGTGCAAAGACTACAAGAAAAAGCTGTCTATGCAACAAAAACAGTTGGATTGGAGACCTGAGAGAAGAGCTGGACCATCTCAAATGCACCACAAACGAGTTGTCATCATCAAAAATATGTTTCATCCCATGGATTTTGAGGATGATCCATTGGTACTGAATGAGATCAGAGAAGACCTTCAAGTAGAGTGTTCAAAGTTTGGACAAATTAGGAAGCTCCTTCTCTTTGATAGACACCCAGATGGTGTAGCCTCTGTGTCCTACAGGGATGCAGAGGAAGCTGACTATTGTATTCAAACACTCAATGGAAGGTGGTTTGGTGGCCGTCAAATCACTGCCCAAGCATGGGATGGGACTACAGATTACCAGGTGGAGGAGACCGCAAGAGAAAGGGAGGAAAGGCTGAGGGGCTGGGAGGCTTTCCTCGATGTTCCAGAGGCCAACAGAGGCCTTCAGCATTTAAATTCTGTCTGTGCTTCGGAAAGGGCGGGGCCTTCTCAAGTAAGGCATTTTTCAGAGCAACTGAGCACATCCAAAATGAACATTCAAGAAGCCACAACTGAAATGGCACTTGAAGAACCTGTTGATTCAAAGAAGTTTGAAAAAACAGAAGATGGGGGAGAATTGGAAGAAAATGCCTGTGAAACGAGTGCTAAAGCAAGTGGCCCAGAAAAAGAGGCTGAAGAAGGCTGCCCCCAGGAAGAAGCCGAAGAAGGCTGCCTAGAAAGAGAGTCAGAGGCAGGCTGCCCTGAAAGAGCGTGTGAAGGTGACTACCCTGAAAGAGAGGCTGGAGAAGGCAGTTCCAAAACAGAGTTCAGAGAGGGTAGTCCTGAAGAAGAGAGTGACCCTGAAGGAGAATGCAAAAAGAAAAAACTCAAAAACAATTATGAAGAAAACGACCTTGCAAAGGAGTCTGAAGAAGATGGCCTTGGCCAGAAGTCTGAAGAGGGCAGCCCCCAGAAGGAGGCTGAAGATGACTTGGAAAGAGAGTCTGAGGAAGACTGCTCTGCAAAGCAGCTTGAGGATGGCTTTGAAAAAGAATTTGAAGAAAATGGCCTTGAAAAAGATTTTGATAAGTATGGCTCCAACAAAGACTTTAATGAAAATGTTCTCAATAAAGAGTTAGAAGAAAATGACACCGAAAAATCCGAGTATGGAGATGACAGCTCTGAAAGGGTGTTTGATGAGGAAGTCTCCGACAGAGAGTTGGAGGAAGAGTCAGACGGAAAGGATGAGAATGATATGTATGAGGAAGTATTTGATGATGAGTCAGATGAAAACGAGGATGAGGAGGATGCCGATGAAAAGGGACTTGGAGGTGCTGGTGAGAAAGAAGATGCCAATGAAAAGATGTTTGAAGATTCAGATGAAAATGAAGATGAAATAGATGTAAAGGACAATGAAGCTGTAGATGAAAATAGGTCCGAAGATGATGATTCTAATGAGACATTGTTTGATGATGAGGATTCCAGTGAGATGCTCTTTAATGATTCTGATGAAAGAGGGACTGTGGGTTGTTTGGGGAATATTAAGGAAGAGGGGCCCTTGTCCACAGACAGCAGCTTTGTCCTCAGCAGTGATGACAGCGATGATATTTAATCCCTGAAACTTGCTTTTAGAGTGATTCCTCCCTACATTTTGCCTATACTCCAGGGTAATTACTAGTAGTGTTACATGAATATGTGCATAGTGGTAGGATGGCATCAGGTAAATGAAGTTTTCATTGTTACCTATACTTAATTTTAAATATATGTTAATTGACTGTTTGATTAAAACTTCATAGTATAATGCAAGTAAACTGGATACTATCCTTTGTCAGATTTGTTAAATGCATGCAGAATAATATTTTTAAAGTATTCTGATTGAAGTTTGTGATATTCAAAAAGAAAATTATTGCTAATATGCAGAAACTAAAAATAAATAAAAATAAACTATGTTGTAGAAAACACCTTTACATATACATGTTTGTATCCACATGGGCATATTTCTCTGAGATAAAATCCTACAAGTGGAATTGTTTGAAGTAATGGAAGATCACTTATTTACATTTTACAGAATTGCTAAGTTGCCTTTCAAAATGTTTCATCAACTTACAGTCCTAGTAAAATTTTTCCATATCTTTGCAACATTTGATAACTATTTCAAAATAGAAAAAGAACACATCATTTTTACTTCTATTTTGAAAACTTTTGAATTTAATTTCTTGTATTTCCTCTGTTAGGTGTATATAGTTACATACTTTTTTCTTTGTAAACTGTCTCATATTTTTCTTTCTTAGTTACTTGGGCTTAGTCCTTTACTTTTTTCTAACTTCTTCCAATGTATTTAACATACTGCATTCTAATACTGCTGAAAATCTGTGTCACCGCCATCTATTTGTACCATAAGCAGTGCTTCTGTGAACATACTTATGTATCCATTCAAGAAATTCCCTAGGATATATCCATAAGAATGATTTCCTGGGTATATTACCTACACACTTCAGGTCTATAAAAAATGTTATACACTGCTGGTGTGCAACAAATTACCCCCATATGCAGTAGCTTATTACAGCAAGTTTATTTTAAGCTAAGAGTTCCTGTGGGTCCTGAATTGGGTAGCAGATAAGCTGGGTGGTTTGGGCTCAGGATCGCAGGTTGCAGTCTGGCTCTGAGCTGAGGCCAAAGTTGCCTTAAGCTCAACTGTGGAAGGATTCATGTCCAACCTCACAGTCCAGAAGCTTCAGTTTGTTGCCCCATGGGTGTCGTCTCCATAGGGCTGCTTACGATGGCAGCTGTGTCCCCCAGGTGAGTAGGGCTCTGAGAGAGAGTGAGCCACAAGAGAGTGTCTGAGATGGAAACCACACTCTCTTGTAACCTAATCTCAGAAGTGATACACCATTACTTCTGCTGCATTCTCCTGGTCACACAGACCAACCAACCATAGTACTCAAGTAACCAACGGCCCTGGTTTGCCTGGCACCTAAGGATTTATCAGGCTTTAAAATACAGCTTTCTAGCTTTTAAAAGGTGGGTAAATCCTAAGCACAACCTGGGCAGTTGGTCACCTTACCCTGTACAGTACAGTGGCAATCATACAATGGTATAAATACCAGGAGAAGAGAATCCCTTGTAGACAGACATCTTGGAGGCTGACAGCTATACTGGGTCATTGATTACACCCAAACATAGTTGCAAAATTATTTCCAGATGTTGTTCCAGACTAGCTGGTATAGTTTCCTACAAGTTGTGAAGATTCAAGACTCAGATTTTATTTTCTGCAGATCCTCTAAATGAATGGAACTTGTAGGTTATTTCGTATTAAATTTTCTCTCATATTGTTCCTCTATTCATTCATTAGCTGTTCATTCTGAGAAGTTTTTGATATTCCAACTTAATAATTCACCCTTCCTTTGGGCATTTTCTGCTATTCAGACATTCTTTTGCATAAAGATCTCACAAAGCTTATAGTTTGCTTATTTGTGATGCATAATATGTAAAATATTAAATAGCAATCTAGAATTAGAAGCCAGATGGTCTCAATGTAAGTGATGTGGGAGAGTAGGAGGGGAAGTGCACTTTGAAAACCTACACAGGAAAACAAATACTGAAAATAAATAAGCTGAGCTTTCATGGAAATAGGTTAGAAAAAGTAAAAGAATAAGCCAAGTTACCAAGAAAGAATAAATGATAAAAGTAATTGCAGAATTCACTGATCTTAAGCTCTGAGACAGAGAACAAAGAGAGGAGATTTATAAAAATTAAAGGGTTGTTTGTTTTAACTCATTCTCCTTTGCTCAGTCCCAGATCCCTAATCCCAGCAACTATGGCAGCTGCTCTGTTCTGTTTAATGTGCTTTTTTTTTGTTTATATGTATTTCCATGATGTATGTCCACCACATTTTATCAATTTATTTCCCCAAGAAATATCTTAACTCTCATTCTCCACAAATCTCAGTGCAATGAAGAGCCTCATATTTGTCTTGTAGGATGAATTCTCATTCTCTCTCTCTATCTATAAAGGGGCTGGAGGGACTAGATACCCAGAAAAAGAATTGTTGGAACACAGGTACTCGTATGCTTCATTTGCCTAATTAGCCTCCTTGGTCTCCAAAGGGCCACCCCAGGCTGCATGCCCATCGATGCATGAAGTTGCCTCTGTCTCAGCATTCTTGTCACACCCGGCATTGCTCAGGTTTTGTAAGTCTAATAGGTGTGTAATGATATCTCATTATTAAATTAATTTTCATTTCTATGATTATTAATGTTGAGTATCTCTTTATGTGTTTATTAGCTTTTTGGATTTTCTCAGCTGTTCCTTTCAAAATAATAAAACTCTGGCACTATTAATCCAGGTAAAAGAGAGACGATGCAAAGAAACAATATGCAGACTTTTAAAAAGATGAAATTGCACAGGAAAACAGAAAATTCTAAAAGCTTCTAGAGAGAAAAACAAATAATTACAAAAAAGAAAAGAAATCAGAGCCTCAGATTTCTCATCACCAATACCAGTTTATAGAAGTCAATGTAGCCACCTATTCCATGTTTTGATGAAAAAATTATTTTAAATCTGGAATTCTATGCTGTGTAGGTATCTTTCAGTTGTGAAGGTGAAATGAAGACATTTTCAGACATGGAGAACCTGAAAAAGTTTGCTATTCACGGGCTTCCTCTGAAAGAATTATGAGTAACCAGCTCATCAGTCCCTGTATGGATGACTCGTATTTTTACTCCTTATGGCAGCCCCACTCCCTGGCACTTGCCTGGACTTCTTTCTGGACAGGAAGAAGGGAAGGAGGGAGTGAAGGAAGGAAGTTTCTGTCGTTTCAGAGCATCCATTGCAATGTCTTTCACCAAGTTGAGTTTATTCCAAACACGTTTGGTCTCTCAGTGGCAGTTATGACATATTTAAGAGTTGTTTCTGCTCTTGTGAAAGCTATTCCAGAATCTGGCATCTATTGTTTATCCTTCTCACATCTTTGACCTGCCGAATTAGTACTCCTAAATAGGCCCCACTCTGAGCTGACATTTTCCTTAGGATGTTCCACACAACAGTATGTTACTAGGTTTAAAAAACAAATGTCTTGAGGTTGACAAAGCTAAAGGGACGTCTTTCCTGTGGAATTTCTCAGGCTTGTGTGCATGGCAAATCTCCTTCTAAGAAGGGACTAATATGCAATGCCATGTTAGCCAAATGAGTTTGGCCACAGAGTCCTTTAGGGAATGGGGAGCACCTTGCAGGATCTGTTCTATAATTTTGTGATGCTGTCTGACTCCGTGATCTCTGATGTTCAGTATCAAAACACTCCAAGCTCTATTCCCCACCCAACACCTCATAAACAGTATCCATATAATATTCAGTGAAAGGATAAGTGAATGAAGAAATTCATTATAAAAGTGCTTTAGAAGTTCAATACGAAATTTGTGGTAAGCCATTGCTTGTATTTATTCTGGAATGTGATTTCACTTAGACACTGAGAGTTTCCAAAGAAAACAAAAAATATTAGCTTATTTCTAATATACCATCTTTGAAACAAAATTCACTTTAAAGCTCTTAATCTGTAAATGTAGTCAAAATCCTCTGCTGCCTGTGCAGTTTGCTGTGGCAGAATCCAAAGGCCATCGTCTTCCACCAGCTTCAGGTCTATCTGGGTGCTGAGCTTTATCTGCACAACAGTACATACTGATTTACATTTGTGTCGTGCTTGATTGTATGAGTCTCAAATGCTTATACATATATGCTATCAGGCTCAACATTTAGCTTTTGTGTTCTTAAAAGCTAGTCTCTGTATCTTCTGTTTCCTCTTTTCCTCACTAAGTTTCATGTGATTTTTAAAATTCCTCAGATTGGTAATGTATTTGTATCCATGAGGATAGAAGTAAATGTTGTAAATGGAAAATTAAAAATTACAGTCAATAGATTGTCATGAAATGAAAGGATGTTTTGAGATTTGGGGATAACATCCAAATGAAAAAATAAAATTTCTTGGTTATGAGACAATGAAAATAAGTTTTGTGAAAAATAATGATAAATTAAACTAACTGGGCAAAATTAATGAATTTGCATGCTCTGCAATTTCTCTTCCTCTGCTGCCTTTTCCACAATAACCCTTTGTTTCTCTTGTTAGCAAGAAGCATACAATAAAGTATGGGGGTCCTATAGAACTGACTTCAAGCATTATATTCTGGGTGCTCAAGAAAATACTTCTCTCTTCAATAATAAAAATGTGCAAATTGCTACCTCCCTCCTTGGGTTGATACACACAGGGTTACATGACATGAAGTATGTAGAGCAAAGTCCATTAGTGCTGTGTGAGCTCTACAATTATTAATTCTTCCATTTTCCCATACACCCATCTCAGTATTGCCTATTCAAAAAAATTTCTTGACAAAATGTCTGCTTATCTTAAAATGTCCCTTTCTCTAAAGAAACTCTCACATCCATTAAACTTCCTTTTTACACTATTTTTTTATTTGAACTCCATTTGGACAGAAAAATCCTTATATAATACCTTTGGGCTCTCATCAGCAGACTTCAACATACGTCACTTAAATGTTTTATTCTACTTTATTTGCAGTTCTGACAATTTCAGAGTTCATAAAGGATTTGACATACTAACAA